AGTTTAAATGTTTTGGGGAAGTATCAAAGGCCTACTTACAGAGGCAATAATGCATTAATAATTTAAATGTATTTCCATTGTTGTCAACTCTTATTAATTTATTGAAAGTTATATGACATTTGGTTTTATTTACAGCTTCAGGTCCCAAAGCTATGTAAAACTGTGCAAGAGCCTAATCTTTCGTTGGAAAAAAAATCTCTAACTCTAAACATAAAGTTTCTGAGACACTTCATTCATTCGTAACTCTTTTTTGCTACAATATAAAGAAATTTAACCAAAAGCCCAGGAAACCAGCATCCAAATTAAGATGAATATTTCCAAATATTATCAGTGAGGGGCCTGGTGAACGTTTTTTGAAAGTCTAGGGTTACCAATATTGAACAATGAGGACTCAGCACTTACTGTATGAATGCCTTGCACAAGCCCATGTAAGTGCTATTTTTATGAGAGATGAAATATTACTTCTGGAAGGGTAAAAATCACAGAAGTTTTCCTTATTCTTGCTGTGCTGCTTTCCCTGCTTGAAACAAAGGAAAGAGAGTAGCTAAATCCACCTAGGCAGAGTCTTGCTAGTTCTGAATGGATCACTTAACAACAAGAGAACAGCCTTTCATGAGTAGCTGCCAGCTGCTCAATTCACCCTGCTGACATTTGGAAGGAGTCCAAAACAAGGAAAAAATTGGTTTACTTGAAGAATTTAGGACTCCACTTGCCTCCTTGTGCCCTCATTTAGAAACTGTCTGAAAACTCACAGTGTTTCCAGACATTTCCAGGAGTATTTCAGTTGCTACTAGGCTGAGCAGGTGGCTGTTGCAGTTGTAGAAATTGTATTCCTTTCAAGTGAATTCTTATGAAATAATTTTTATTTCTGTCTCTAATTATCTGTACTTCCTTCCATTCTGAATAAAGGAAACAAATTTACTTTTTCTTGTCTTTTAACAAGAAATTCAGTGTGTTGAATGGGGGAGGGAGGATATCCTGGTATCGTGTAGGTACAATGCAGGATATCACAGAAGTCCACAAGGGAGGGATCTTCTTCCTAGTTTAAGTTAAACCAGAGTCCCCCAACATCCCAGATGCTTTGCAGCCCTGGGCTGGACTGTATGCTCCAGAGCAGGCCTGCCCCTGCCCCTCTGCTCCATATCTGGAACTCTGGTAGAAAATGCAGGCACAGCAGGGTCTGCCTGGCTTCCCCCTGCCACCCCCTCCCCCCTCTCTTGCTTAAGAAGGGATTCCCCCCCTCCCCTCCCCCACAGCACGGACCGTAGCCAGCATGTGGTATGCTAGCTAATGCTAAGAGGTGTCTGTGTAAGGCAGACAGGACAGTGTCCACTTAGGGCTTTTTGGAGCTAATCAACAGGTCAGTTGGTAATGTCCCTCTGTTCCTTCCTTGGAAAAAGTTGTTTAAGAACCCTGCTAGCTTCCTCACTGATCAGGAGAAGTATGTGTGTGTGTAGGGGGGGAGGCAGGAACCCCTCCCTAATCAGAGTGTTCTGCCAGGACCTGACCTTGCCCCCCCCACTGCCAGCTCAGCACTGTGGAAGAGAGGGAAGGCTGCTGTAGTGCTTCCCGGCTTCTAGCCTGAGTCACTGTAGGCACGTGCCTGCATTTTTTCAGTCCAGAGGAATGTATGTGCACTTGGAAACTGGTTCAGCCTAGCCAGGCTAGACTAACCTGCAAAGATTGAATCAATTCAGGCTCAGGCTTTTTGAATGTCTGTCCCTAGCCCTAGAGACTGTGCCATGGGAATAGTGTCAAGTGATGATGACTAACTTTTACATGTTGATATCTGGGGTTTGCAAGCTGATTTGCAGGCCAGATACAGCCTGTGACCATAGGTTTTTGACCTCTGGCCTAAAGTACTGATTCTTAAGATGGAACACATCATACCAGTCCTTTTACTTAGTAGTAAAGTGTGTTTATTAACAGTGTGCATGATACTACTGTGAGACACAGAAGACAGGTTCCCTACTCTGAAAAACCTACAGTCAAAAGACTTGAGCCTGTTATGTGTGAGTGCTTAGCTGACGGCAGTACTGGAACCGAGGCTCTACTTAGTTGAATTAACCAGACTACATATACAAAAAAAAATTAAGTTTACACTTAGGAGTTTGCCATTTCAGGGCCCAAACAGCAATAGTATCTTCTTTGTCTTTCAGGCATAATTCTAGCAAATAAGCGAAACTATATACAATTCAAACACTATTTCCCAAATTCCACTTAAAAGATTATTTTAGTTTGCAGCATAAAACAATCCTTCAGGTGAGCATTGAAAAAGCCAGATGGATAATCTGAATAGCTGAAATGATTGAGGAGAAATTGTTTCCATGGGATGTCAGAGAAAGCAGTGACCACCAATTTCTAAAGCTGGCATGACGCTGTTAACCCTATCTCTGCCAGAAAATAGCAGAGGAGGCAAAGCCTTACATTATCTTGTCTAAATGAAACTTTGTTTTGTGTATTTTAGCATATTTTTTCTCTCTGGCAAATGTCCCCACTGCAGAACAGGCTAATGAATGTAGCTGAACTATGCTAAAAATGTCTTAGCTGAGACAGTAGGTGGAACGAATTTATTTCTAGTACCATTCAGATAGCTTTCTACGCTAGTGCAGAAAACAGTCTGCTCTTGTTTGCACATGCAGTTAAACAGTTGTCCATCCTGGTTTTCTTATGCAACTATACTTTTTTGCTGGAACTGACTGCCACAGATGGGTCAACTTGGTAATGCCACCTAAACCATCATACGCTAGCCCTCCGAAGCGTTATTTAAACTAAATTATTAGTAGCTATTATGAGGACGTGTTATACAAAAACAGTCTATGTATTTTTAACTAAATCTTAGACCCAGTTTGTCTACATGTACGTTTTTAAAATTCTTCTAGAAAGAGGACCAGTTATTCTGATTCATCCTTAAATTTGAATTTCAGAGAAAGGTGACCATGACCATCTGGCATCCGATCCAAAGTCCAATGAACTTGATGCTCATTTTACTAGGCTGTGGTTCTGTCACTACTGTCTTGCTCCAAACCAGGTGAGGATATTTATTGCACACTAATAAACTCTATAATCATGCTGGTTGTCTTAGCTGTAGTAAAGGGTATCGTGCTAGGTAAGTAATTTAAAAGCTATCCATTCAGGTATATTTATTCCAGAAGAGTAAACTAAGCTTATTTCTTACACATGCTACTGAGATGCAGTCAATTATAGCAGGAATAAATTATATATGGGTAAAGCACTAGCACCCAAAAGAAAAAGAATCTAATATTTTACTCCTTATTTGGTTACATTTAGTTTCATAACCATCTCTTCAACTAGTGTTCCTAAGTGAAATGGATTTTTTTTTGTCATTTTCTATTACCCTGCGATTTTCTCTCTCATTTTTGTCTTTCTTGTTCTACATCTTTGTTTCAATTGTCTGGATAAAGCAGTGTTTGATTAATTTAAGTTGAATGCGTTTCCAAGTAATTCCTGCATTAATTGTGATGCAAATCTTTTGCTAATTAGACCACTTTTTCTTTTCCAAGTTGCAAAGAAAATTGGTGGGTTTTTGTCTGTGTATATTATAAACAGTATCTCAATTTGTCAGTTACTGAAGAGGGGCATATTTGTTTTAACTTTCAACCACTCTTCTCATTTCTTTATATTCCTAATATTAAAAAAATATTTTTTTACAAGAGGCTTGCCTTCCCTCTCTTGGTGCGCCTCGCACCCCCTCTTTGTTACAGTACTAGACAGGACTATCATACCTAAAAGGGCTCAGGTCTGATGGTGGGCAATTCATGTACAGAAAGAAATAAAATTACTTCTATTATTTGTTACAAATTATATTTCTAGCTATTTTTGTTTTTGTTGATCCAAATATTAGTACCTGATAAAATGATTAGCTTTGAAGAGGGACCACATGAAAATGTGTTGCTTTAACACACAAAATACAGGATTGCATTTGTTTCAAAAGGCATGAAATAGAAACCTGTTCATTTTCTCTTTAAGGAAGTTTCTGGTTATCATAATAACTGTGTAACAGTTTAACTTCTTCACTTTTTACAGTTTTTCACATGTATCACAGGTTTGAAATGACCTAGCTCTACTGATATTTAGTAACAGGACTTAAAAAAAACCCTGTTGCGCACAAACATATTCTGTCTTTTGAACTCTGCACAAATGTTCTTACCTTTCTTAGCTCTGTTCCAAAATTCCCATTTCTAGCTTATAAAAAATAACATACACACCAGTTCTCTTTCATATAACATTTATGTCTGTCCCCAGCATTTTGATGAGATGCTGCTATTTTGCGCTACTGCAACCTGATCCTGTATATTCCTGCCTGATACAAAAACATTATTTCTGGATTCTTTTTTTAAAATACTGAGTACAAAATGTTCAGCAGTAATTTGTAAATATTTATTAACTTTTAAACACATAAGTTAGTCTAATTAAGTCATTTATAACCTTACATAGTAACTAACACTAACATAATGACCTTACTTCCAGAGATTTCAACAAATTAAAATTTAAACTAAGGCCCTGATCCTGTATAGACTTAAACATGTGCTTAACTTTACCTGCTGTTATTAGTTCCAGTGATGCTATTGGCATTATTCACAAGTCATGCATTTGTAGTACTCAGAGGTGTATTTACAGAGAACATTCGACAAAAGAAGTGGTAAAAAATGCTATGGTCCTTTTCAAGTAACCTGCATGGTTTAGAGCTCGTATTTAAACATTTGTAGTGTTTATGTGAGGCTTAACAAAATGTTTATATATTGTATTTAGGGCAGAGCAGTGATGGTCAGAAATGTCTGAGATAGCGCTAAACAAAGCAACTCAGTATCAGAAGTAGTACAGCTACATTAGCCCATGTATAATGGGGAGGCAGACAACTGGGGGAGGAGTTTTTGACCACGTGTTTTCTGCCACGTGTTTACATATTAACAAACAAAACTTCATGACTAATTAACAAGACTTACAAATGGAACAGTCATATCAAGGCTTTTACTCACCAATTACAAAAATGATGGTTGATTGCCTCAAATCTCCTGTAAAACCTAAATAAAATTTAAATATATTTTATTGTTGGCAGCAACAACTCATTTAATTCTTTCTATAGGCTTAATTTTTTACCAGCCCAAAAAACTTTTGGGGAGATTTTCTTTAAATTAGCTTTTATTTTCAACTTGGATGTATTTAATTCTGAAATGAACTCTTAAGCACAATCTCACTTATGTTCCAGTTTTGTAGCTGTCTTTGTAGATGGTATAAAATATTTTAGAAGGAAACAGCCAGATCTTTCATATTCATGTTATGAACATTGTGTCTGAACAAAATTTTTACATAAAACAAAATCAGGAAGCACATTAAGTTGAGTTAACAATATGCATTGTGAGACACTAAGTTTTTTCTTTTATTTTGGACATATAATTTAATTAAGGGCAGTACGTAACATTTTCCACATCCTCTTGGATTCTGTCTTGAATGCTGTTTATGACAAACAAAAAAAGTAAATCTAAAATTTAGCCAGACTAGAAGTAACTCACTTTGGATTATGGTATTTTCAAACAGGGATTTACCTTCCATTTATTCTTGAAATTACTATATCTACTGAAACTTGACATTTAAAAAAGGTAACTCTTTAAAGTCTGGTGTCCAGTGTTATGTCCTGAATAGCTTGTAACTTCATAGAAGGCCAACTTGTCTGCCTGACCTGGCTCAGTTTACGCAATGCTTACGACCTAAGTAGCTACAGTCCAGAGCTACTGCCTGTGAATTACTGATTTTATTTTTTCACTATATAATAGGTAGACGAGTACACATTTCTAATTCTCAGATAACACTAGGAGCTGAGGTACTCACTAGCATTCAGGATGCCCGTAGAATTGTCCAAGTCAGAATGTACCTCAGTCTTTGGCCATTTACCAAATTCTGAAAGTTGCTATTACACAGGATTGGATCTGGTAGCAAGTTCTCCAAATAGTTTTGGGCCCAGTACACTGAGTTGAGGCATCTTGCTCCCTGGCATATCTTCATTTGCATTTAGTTAGAGAATTCACATGATAAAATAGTGTTTCCATCAGTTGTTTAATACATGCTTTTTACACATTAAAAAATCTGGATGCCGTTCATTATATCTACTGTGTAACTAAGAGCATTACAATGAATGTGTTCATTTATACTAAAGAAGGAACTCACCTCCTGTATTCTCATATCCAGAGAAACTTGACTGGTCATCTGCCTGTAAATTAAGCAACTGACATAGTGAAAGAGGTTATTGCTTAATCTTTGTTTTTTTCTTCATGTATGTGCAGGTGTTAAAGCTGACATTGTGAAAGATGAATAGATTCACAGTTTGTGCCCACGCAATTATACGTTAACAATAGTTAGTTTATTTCACTCTACGGAGCTTGAATGCAGAGAACCCAAGTGGCTCCTGTTGATTGATACTGGCCTATATTACTGTATAATTGCTAACAGAGGTCCATCTATTTTAGTGTTAAACAGTGTTAGCTGAATATTAGAGAGGTAGCATGTGTGCATATTAAATTGTTCCCCCCCACCCCAAATGGGAAATGCTAAGCTGTTTCCAGTCAGTCAGGGAATAGATAACAGCACAGTAAGTTGTAGTGTATAAAGAATACATTTAAAAGTAAAATTAACCTGCTGATTGTGCAGTGAGACATGAGTTCAGGACTTAAGCTGTGACCCTCTTGACAATACCTTTGTGTACTATGGAAACAATAAGAGTTGCAAGTGTTGCATCAAAGATCTGTAGGTCCATCCAGAAATGGAAAGGTACCCTTAACTTGGGTCCTAAATTCTAGATATCTTGCATCCACTCTTGTAGGAGCTACAGTCTGAGCAGACCAGGAAATGATTTTTACATAAAAATGATGAAAATGAAAATCCTTGTTTGTAGAGAACTGTCTTTATTCATTTTTGTATTTTCATTACAAATATGAAATCCTTAAAACTAATATTTTGAAAAAAATGGATTTTTAGAAAGGAGTTTGTTTAGTTGAAAAGATTTCTGCTGAAGAAACTGTTGCTGTAAAATTTTGAGCAACTCTGCTTCTAACCTGTTGTTTTAAATTCCCATCCTTCACTGGTAGTGTAAAATGGGAATACAAGTGGGCATGACTAGTTCAGAGATATCACTTCAATAAGAAAGTTACCAGAAAACCATTACCTCAAAAGATGCTGTTACCACATAAAAAGTTATCTGTTTATTGCCTCTTAAAATTCAGTTTTATTTGAGTTATTACCCATAGAGCTCTACCGAGCCTTTAAGTAATAGCTCTCTGTTGAAGCAAGGAAGACGCACAATATGAACAAGGTCTGTATACAGTGCCCAGTTATGCACAAAAGATACTCCTTATTGGTCAGCAGCACATGAAGAGAACATGACTATTAGTATGACTCCCTTCCCCCTCCCCCACTGCCATAGAAAGGTCCAGTAATTAGATGTTCATGTCCATTACTCCTGCTATCTTGCTTTTGGACTGTTGCAGGGCACTAAGGTGTGCCTGCTCCTTCAAGAGCTCAGAGGCAGCTTAGCTAGGGAGCCCAAAGAGGTAGGCAGGGCTCCACAGCTGCAGGCTACCTTGCCTGTGAGCTAATCAGGGTATTAGCTGGCACCTGCACCCAGTCAGGTGACTGGAAGGGAACAGGGCCCTGGGCATATATAAGTCCCAGGACTGGGGCTGGCAGGAGGTTAGTTCTCTGTCAGCAACCAGGCGAAGGAGCTCTTGCAGAAACGCTACTCAGAGATGCTTGGTTGCCTATTCTGCTGATGGTAGGACTAACGGGCTCTAGGAGCTCCTAAAGTATCTGGAGCTAGGAGGCACACATTGTTGAGGGAGAAGCTCACCTCCTTAAAGGGGCAGGGTGTGACCTCCAATGTTATTTCCCACACCCCATACCTTGTTGTACCTCTGAGGCCTTGATCTAGCTTGGCCTCCTGTCATCCAATGTTATTGTTGTTGTTATGTTATAGCCTAGCAGCTTGTATTTACGTTGTTATTTGAATCCAGTGGACCGGGCTGAGGCTATTGGGGTGGAGGAGCCCTCATTGGGGTCACATTACAGTGTGGAGAGCTCAGTACCAGTGAGTGTGTGCAGACAGGGCTGTGGAGAGCCCAGTGCCAGTGAAGACATGCAGACAGGGGCCAAGGGCCCAGTGATGACAGGTTATGCAAAATGCCTAGGCTCAAGTCCTCTGCATCTTCAGGGTTACATTAAAAACTTTTGTGTCAAAAGATGTGATGTAGGCTTGGGTGGTTCACACTGGTCTGAATCTGTTGACCTTTAAAGGCAAATTGCAAAGTGCATGTTGATAAAACGTTACTAAAGAAGGCGGGGGAATGGGGAATGTGGTACCTTTGTTTTTTATGGCCTAGCTATGTAATATTACACTAACATGTGGATACCATTTCTTTTTTGCTTTATTTTTAGGGGTTTGACAGGGGAGTATAGAGAATGCAGCCAGGTACACTATGTTGTTCTTATCAATCAAACTAAAAACTGAGCATAACCCAAGTTACTTACAATCAATGCATTCAGATTAGTAGCTTTTTAATGCGTTCTGTTAAATACTAATTTATAGAGGAGCACTGATACATTGGTCCCATATCAGATTGGTACCGATGTGAAGAAAATTGTCTATATTGGATATCAGCCCTATGGGGCCAATAATTTGGCCAATAAATGCTCGTGCTGTGTGCAGCTGCAGCACAGCATGGAGCAGAGTCGGCAGTGTGGAGAGCTGTCTCCAGCTGGTAAGTCGGAAGGGAAAGCAGGGTGGAAGAGGCATGGGGGGCAGATCAAAGCCCCTGCGGTGAGGGAGGGGGCAGAGGCAGGCACTGCCCAGCCAGGGCAGAGGGGCACGGGACAGAGGTGCAGCTTGTGGGGTGGGGGGTGGCTCCCACTGCTGCTTGCATGTTGGGAGGGCAGGGGAGAGGGGCATGTGCCCCTGGATCTGTGCAGCTGTGGCTTTTCCTGGGGCTTGGGTGGAGGCGGAGCATTCAGCTGGGGCTGTGCTGGGTGGTGGTGCAGGGGTGGGAGTGGAGCTGCAGCAAAATTTGCAGCAGCTGCAGCGTCCTCCCAGTATTGCCGGAGCCCGCTCTGAACCCAGCCCCCGGCGAGAACAGCCCCACGCAGAGCCAGCTCCAGCTCCACTCTGCAGCTGCAGCCTGCCCTGTAGTGTGTAGGTCTGGGGGCGCACCCCCCCACCCTCCCAGGTTGCAAGCAGTGGCAGGAGCTGCCCCCCCCGTGAGCTGCTACTCCATCCCACGCCCCCCCCACACGGCTGGGCAGCTCCTGCCCTGCCTCCTCCCTCACCACAGGGGGTGTTGATCTGCCCCCCACATCCCTGTCTCCCCTCTATCCTTCCACCACACCGGACTTACCAGCTGATGGCAGGTGTATCAGATGGGTATGAGCCGATATGCCTCCTTAAATATCGGCTATCAGTATTGGCCCCCAAAATCTCTATCGTTGCACCCCTAATAATTTACCCTAAGCACTGCACACATACACTAAGTAGCCAGCATATTGTACATTACACTAATTATATATGCAGGATTATAATTTATAGTCATAAGTACCAGCACAAGGTTATAAAACTGCCTATTTAAACTTTTATACTAGGAGTTTAAAACAGTAGTCATAATACTAGAGCAATTCCTATTACTATGTAAGTAATAGGAGAAGAAACTTTCAGGAGACTGAAAGAAGTAAGCAGTGGTGAATAGACTGTGCAAACTGGGGGCCGTTTTAATTTACAAGACTTCTATATTGCACTCATGTATCTCATTGTATGCCTAGCAGCACTGCAATAAAAGGACACTTTATTACAGACTGAAGTACCTACAAATTAGCTACATAGTCCCTTTTCATTTCTTTATTCATAGAAATGCCTGTGCTATTATACTTTAGTTGAAGGGGATGACATCTTTAAAAGAACAAAAATCAGTAGAGATTTTGATCATGTTACATGGGTATTACTGTTCTTGAGTATAGTACAGCATGTATACAAAAAATCCTGGGGTTAATTTTCCCCAAGCATGCACTGCTGCTTTTCATATTGTATGTATTTTTAAGGCTGTAATAGCATAATAATACTTTTGACTTCAGAGAAGGTGAGCATAACGTAGTAAGTGCCTGAGATTTAGAAGAACCTCTTTTTGTGCCCTTGTCAGATTAGGAATGCAATGTGACATTAGGTTGAGGTCATTTTAACATGTAAAACTTAAAAAAAAAAAAACCCTTACAAAATTAAGTTTCTTTCATTTAAATGAAAGAGGCAAAAAGCTCCATCCTTTCAAATAATCAGCTTTCATTTTTTGCTCTCTCTTACTCCAGACTCCAAAACAAAATTACATCAAAGAGACTGGGACATTACAAGGTGCTGGAAGCAGCTGTTGGGGTAAGGTGAAGGGAAGTTTAAGCCAGCAGTAGCTGTAATTTTTCTGCTGGATTTTGCTTATATTCTAAGGTCATCATGAGAAGCAGTAATGAAGGCATGGAACTTCTAGAGCTTCTTATTTGACCGGCCGTATCTGTTTTATGCTTTGTTACATGTCACATTCATTAAAGAAATAAGTGATCTTAATGGCATTTCTACTGATTAAAATTTTAAAAAATCCCATAACAATGTATCTGGTATGAACTGTCACAACTGATGATCAAAATTAGCATGTCAAAATACTTTTGATTTTCCTCTCTGGAATTACAGTTATTTTAAGTAGATTTACTTTTTTTATTTTTTTAAATTTTACCCATGGAGTTTCCCCTAGCATTAAGGATTATGAAACTTTGTTTCCTGGACATGGCTTGGTGAGGTGCATCAGTAGACCAAAACATGGATTTGGAGATGTCTTCTTAAAATATCTCCCATGGCCTTAATCCACACTGTTTTGCACTAATAGCAGCACCACAATACTGATGTACAGTGTAAGGAAGTGCTGAGAACTCCAGAAGGCAGGAATTCACCTTGTGACTATGGTACCTCCTCTAAGGAGAGGGTCAGAAAGAGAATTAAAATATATTAAGATAATAGGGTTTTCTTAGATAGTTCTAGGCATTTATATCCTACTCAAAGACAGGTGTTTGTTTTTTTTCCAGGACAGAAAGCTTCTGGAGAGCTAGAATCTAGCTGTACAAAATTCAGTTACTGTCCTGTTAATGATGCCCTATTAATGTGAGGCAGTAATGATGTGTTATGACCATGCCAGGCAA